ATTTCTTTTAAACATCCAAGGACTAAATGAGGAACAATATGATTAAAAAGATCCTTCATTGTTTTTACATCGAAATATTTTTCCCTTGTGATGGAAAAATCAATACTTTCAAGCAAGACATGCGTGATCGTGATTTTTCATCACAAGGGATTCAGAATGGAGGATCTTCGCCTTTCAACAAATATTCATGAGTATACCTACTGTGGCCAATACGACTTCGCCGCATGATCACCTCTTCAAATCTGGACTGACAACCCAAGTGGCGTACTTAAGTGATGCTTAGTTTTTAACTAGGGGACTTATCGTATTTTGTACATCCGACTATAGATATGTTATAAAGGTTTGCACTCGGCTTACAATACGCACTCTACTTGTCTGCTCCCTGATTGAGTGAGTGAGTTAATTTTTACGCCGCATTCAGCAATATTCCAGCTATATGGCTGCGGTCTGTAAATAATCGAGTCTGGTCCAGACAATCCAGTGATCAACAGCATGAGCATCGATCTGCGCAATTGGGAACCGATGACATGTTTCAACCAAGCCAGCGAGCCTGGCTACCCGATCCCGTTAGTCGCCTCTTACGACAAGCATGGGTTACTGAAGGTTCATTCTAACCCGGACCTTCACGGGTAGTCTGCTCACTGAATCCAATAAAACCGACACACAACCTGTGACAATATCTTTTCTTTTATGAAATTATTGTCAATTATATTTTTCCATTCGGTTATCCATTTTTGTATGAGATAATGTACAATGTACAAAGTGGTCAGCTTTAACGATTGTCATATTCTTATGAAATTTACTTTTTATATTGTCGTCACCAGGTTCCTTTACTTTATCTGGAGCTCTCCATAGGAAGACCACTGAAAATGCAAGGAACACAATACAACAGGTCCATTTCGTTTTCTCTATTCTGATGTGTCGTATCCAAAATTTTCCCAAACTGTTAAATTAGTCTTTCCGCTTGGCAATTTGACGAAATTAAATTTTGGGTTTGTTTGATGAACTTGTGCACCCCAACGCAATATAAATGATATACTCCATTTCGCGTGTTTAGTACACCACCAATAACAGAAAATTGTACATTCTAATACTGTAACCACTGAGAAGCTGCCTTCCCGTCTCCACTGTGACTAGAGAGCTACAGCGTTATCTGCAGCCAGGATTGAGACATGCATGTACGCACTGGTTGTGTGTGCAAGGCTGTATTTTTTCTTTCCGCTAACAATGAAATCACATATGACGTTTTAGGGGTATGGATATTTACCAAGTCTGAACATTAACAGGAATCATATATCTTTTCAATTAGTGTAACATGCGAACACCAGGTATCATTACTTTGGGACAGACATTCATGAACACATTCTTCTTATCTGATCTGAAGCGTATAATGCTTCAAATACTGAGAAGGCAACAACTGCACATGACACATCCTTTTATCTATACATCGAAGAAACCTTCAGACACCAGACTCAATGAAATCCTGTCCTCTCTCCTTTAATGCCAGTTAACTGTTGGCTTCCATCGTATACCCAGCAGGCAATATCAACGTTGTTTCAACGTTGAGAATAGAGTTGATCCTCAACGTTGAAAATAGATTGAAAATAGGTTGTATATGAAAGTTTTTTGACGTAGATATCCGACGTGGAATCAACGTTGAAGTTTGACCGATTATCAACGTTGAAAAAGGTTGATCCTCAACGTTGAAAATAGGTTGTATGTGAAAGTTTTTTTCGACGTAGATATCCGACGATGGAATCAACGTTGAAGTTTGACCGATTATCAACGTTGAGAATAGGGTTGATCCTCAACGTTGAAAATAGATTGAAAATAGGTTGTATATGAAAGTTTTTTGACGTAGATATCCGACGTGGAATCAATGTTGAAGTCTGACATATTATTAACGTTGAAAATGGGTTGTTCCGTGGTTGTGTCTGGGAGGTATTACGCTTTCCTGTAAATAGAACTCGCATTTCATCTTTAAACTACAATAAAAGTAGCACCAAACTCTTGCATCCAGCTAAAATACCCAAAAGCTACCTGCAATAAACAGTGTTCAAACAGAAAATTGCAGTAAAATATTTACCTGATAAAATGCTTGGTTAAAATTCCACATTCAATATAATGTTCATTTAAGTTTTATGTCAGTTGGACGTATAATTCCAGTAAGAAGAAAAAGAGTATTCCAAATTAAGAAAAACTATTTACTGTTGTATTGTTACCTTGAAAGGTGAAAATTGTCCCGAAGACATTTTGTCTGAATTTCAGCTCTTAGACAGACCCTGAATAAACACAATGCAATTACTTTCACCATGAAAGGGATCCAAGATGACCAGGAACTATACCTGAAGACAGCACATAAAACAAGTCACTTTTCATGAAATCTTTATGAACGCACACAGAAAACGTGGTTTAATGCATAATGTAAAACATCACACATGACATAGTCTGTAGGTGATCTCTGTTGTGCTAATAACACAATATCATCTGCATATAGCATCAAAGTGACATTTACGCCACCAATTTCAATACCACAGTTCAGATTTTTCAACACAATTACAACTCCAAAAACACAATTATCAGCTCCTCTTCTTTCTGCCACTCCCTGCCTGGCGGTCAGGTGGATACTTCAGAAACGTTCCTAACTCTTTCTTGAAATTTGCTTCGGATGCATTCCCATCTCATTCCTTTGAGATAGGACACATTCTGAAATTTTATATTTAAATACATGAATAAGTTATATGGAAGATATATTGTCTTTAATGATTCAAGTATTTGTTTAATCAATCACTTGAAAGGTTCATTTCACTGCTGTAACTTGGCATGTGAACATATGAACAGCATCAATACAAAATATGACGAAAAGTGTAAACAATTTATATTTTCAACCGAAGGAATGGAAGTTTTCTTAAACATTTTCAAAGAAAATCCTCAATTGCAAGTTGATTATTTAATTAGACTATGAATTACCGGTAGGATGAATTAGACGATGCTTTACTGTCATATATTATTTGCTATGGTCATGATGAAAATGCTGCACTTGGTAATTAACTTACCAGAGATGATTGAATACAACCTTGTATTCTTAAAAGAAAACTTGCCGTTTTGCCCATCAACATTCATTCTTGACATCAAATTGTTTGACATTGTCCTGCAAACAATGGAAGATTGTTGTTATTCTGTCAGATTTAGTTTTTCTTTAGAGATTCTCAGAAATGATTATTTCAAATTAATAGGAGTTGAACTGATGTAGCAATTTTGCTGCCAGGAGTCATAAATTGTAACAAAAGCCATTTTACATTAAATGATAAGAAAACAAAATGGGTGGTGGTTCACAGGTCAAAGAACAAGTCTATTGTGGGAGGTCTCCCAACACCATTTGTTCCCAAACACAAGGAAGTATGGATCATGGAGTTCTGAAAACAATAATGAGCTCACATAAGTATACAAAATATTCTCTATTATCTACTCTCTCTGTCATTTGTACACTCATAAAACTCAGATAAATAACCTTTTTATAATTCATAAATGTTTACACTTAATCTCTTATAGGAACGCTTTTAGAAAATCTCTCATATAATGAATTATGTGTGCGTATTATCTGCAACGTCAGAACTATATGCTTCTCTGAATCATGAACAATAAAATAATGAGATTAAACTCTACATTGCCAGAAATAATCCATCATACCATGAATAATAAGACATTGAATAACATCTCTTACAACTCCAATCTACACTCAAAAGACTTAAATGTACTCGCAAACAAACATCGCTGGCTAACGCAAAGTCTTGGAAACAGTGCATCTCTGACTCTCAATTCCAAGAAATGGAAGTCCTACTCTTTTGACCAAAGGGGTGACAGGTGGCCAAAACATATTGAAATGTAGGTCATACACTGAAAATAACTCTGATTTAAAACACTACAAATATACACCTTCTCTCTAATATATTCGATAGATGATCTTAACAAGGGAACATGTACATAAAATGCTGATATCTAACAACACCTGTACTTTTAAATAATGGACTCTTCCAAATCTCAGTATGTTTCACTGCACACATATTAGATTGCAAATAATGAAAAACCTACCCTTTGACAATAATAAAACATCATATTCAAATTCTACAGCTGACCAAATACCTGAAGAGTGTGTTTCCCAGCAATAAACACCTCTATATATCTATAAATGTATGACTTCTGTCCTCTCGCGTGCTATCTTGCATCATGCTGTTTACGGCGAAAAACAATATGGCGCCAAGCAAGGGAGTGCTCATTAAACTTAACATCTCCGGGAGAAATCATTGTCAATTTTTTCTCTCTTAAATGATCAACCTTAATATATAAATGAAAATAAAGACCAACTATTATCACCAAAAAAAGACCAAACATTATCACAAATATTCAAAACAGGTGGTAATGAAAGAGCATTATCATCTTTCTCTTAAACTTTGTGGTGGATATACTGGAAACAAGTGAAATGTTAAAAACGTGTTACCTTAGCGTTGCCTTTTATGTGATCCACAAAATTGCTGCCACCCAGTCTTCGAAGATGAGATTTCTGCAAATTCCATTAAAATAATCTTATTTCATAACTAAATGTTCCTTACATTAAAATTACTTCTTTGTATGTAAGATTTTAACCTTTAAGAGACATGACTTATCATATCCCTTCCAAACAAGTGTAAGAATGAAAATCTGTGGGTGAAGTTTTGTTAATAGTGGAATTTCCGCAAGTCATGTGATCTAGCTGCCGATCACGTGGTACAGGTCAAGCTTTGGGACAAAATGGCGGCTGTCAACCGTGCCCTTGAGTGAGCCTCGCCAAGTTCAAAGTGCAATATCATCAATATGGGGTAAAACGATGCGCTTATGGCACTTGTAATAGTGACTCACGTTTCTACCATAAACCACATATGGCAGATGTGTTTTTATTACATTTCCAAAGCCCACATCTAAGCCCGAGATGTGTGACCGCTGAATCAGAGCGTGTTCCCGCGGTGATGATTTTGGCCGTCAGAAGATCACCCAAGATACATATGTATGTTCCAAACACTTTGTTGATGGACATGGTCCTACAGGCGAACATCCTGACCCTATACCAGCTACCGCTAGAGGTGTGGAACTTAGAATCTTCAACACGAAGAAGTCAAGACCACCACCTAAAGGCCGTGTGAGCTTGTCGCCAGAGAAGAAAAAAAGTCGTTCACAACTCCAGGTATAGTTTGGGAATGAAATGAAATAAAATGAAAAAAAATGCATAAGCAAATAGACAAATAAATGACTAAATTTTTGAATAATTTTAAAAAAACTCTCTTTATAATAATTTATGATGTTCATAAAATATTAATTAATGTGTTTTTTTGCAGGTACTCAATGTGAACATTGATAAGGAAAATGAAATAACTGAGGGTTCTGAAGAGCAAGATAAAAATGTTGATAATGAAGGTATATCCATTGATTATATTAAAGACAAAGCTTTTAAATAGAATGTTTAGTTAATGAAATCCGGTTGGGTTTTAGCAATCCTTATTGCCTGAAAAAAGTTTACAAATATAAAATTATAAGATGTTGTTTAGTGTATATTTTGGACCATTTATCATCCGCACAGTTTTGTTTTTTACAAAAATATTTTTATTTTGCAGATGCAAGAAAACAGGTTTCCTGTTCTGATGCAGCTACTCAGACTGACATCTTGCATGATGATCTGGCTGGCTACAGTGATGATCATCTCAAACAACCTAAACTTCTACAGAGAAACTATTCATGGATGATGTTCTCAGAAGTGACAAATCATGCAAATTCTACACAGGTAAAAATATGTTTCAAATCTATAATAAAGACATTCATTGTATGTTTTATTTATTGATAATATATTTTTGCATGATATAGACCTTAATGTGTGTTTTAAAATAGTTATTTGACCAATATTAATAATTATTTCAGGTATTACATCCATCCAGCTTCTGTTGTTCCTGCACAGATTCCTACAGTCCAAAGCTGAGAGGTTAACACTGTGGAAAGGGAAGAAACAACAGTATGTATAGTTTATTGCTTTAATATTGCTTTTATTAATAACCACCTATATACTATCTCTTGACTAATATATACTGTATGTAACTTGGTCACTGATCAATATGTCATTTGTTAACCCTTTCACAGGCAGTGCTGTAAAGTGTATCTGTTTACTAAATGGTCACTTGCAAATTCTCATTGACTTCCTAGTACCAGTCATTGTGAAATATATTGATTAATGAACAGATCCACTTGACCATGTTAACTGATACATAATTACTTTTCAGGAGAATGCAAAAAAAAGATGACCATCACCCCAGGGGACTGTCCACCTTCACAGCTTTCCTCCTAACACTTGTGCGCCTGAGACGTGGCCTTGATGTCGACCATTTGAGTGATCTGTTTGGCATATCATCATCGACAGTTAGCCGTTACTTCCGGACATACATTGAGTTTATATCAAGGGAGCTCAGTTTTGTTGTTAAGTGGCCAATCAGACTGCAGGTTCAAGCTCACCTCCCAAAGGCATTTAGATATTTTAAAAAGACTATTGCCATTATAGATTGTACAGAATTTTTGTACAGAAACCCTCATTGCCATCTAGTCAGAGAGTGACCTGGTCACAGTACAAACATCACAATACCTTTAAATGTCTGGTTGCTATTTCCCCAACAGGTGCATTTACTTACATCTCTCCACTGTGGTCTGGTTCTAGTGTCAGATAGGCGCATTGTTAAAGAATCAGGGTTTCCTTGATAACTTAAACTATGGTGATGACATAATGGCTGACAGGGTTTTTTGATTAGGATCTCTTTAGCATTAAGAGGATGTACATTAAACATACCCACCTTTGCGCACATGGTAAGCAGTTAAGCAAAGCAGCTGTTAAGAAAACCAGGAGAATAGCCCATGCTCGAATACATGTTGAAAGGGCAATTGGTCGCCTCAAGAACTTTAAATTTTACAAGGTATTTTCCACTGAAATCCAAGAAGCTTATTAATCAAAGTGTACAAGTTTGTGCTCAGTTATGCAATTTTGACAAACCACTTTGTAAAGTAACTGTTGTTATTAGAATATTGCCATATTCATGACCAATGACTTTCATGATTCTGTTGTCATGAACATATTGAAATGTTTTGAGCTTTTTGACAGAGATGTCTCCCATGTATTTAAATATATATTTGGGATTACACTCTCTTAGTAAAGTACAGGTTCTAGTACCTTTGTTTGGGTTGAGTCCCATCTGGGATTTGAACCCACAGCGTCAAAGACTCAGGCACCTAATCGCCAGCCTAACCCCTCTCAGCCACCACAACTTCCATGTATTGTTGAACATGGCCTAGTGACCTTAGTGTGAACTGATCTCAAGGAAGTTTGAGTAAAGTTTTAAACAATAAAAAGATAATAAAGCCTTTATAAATTTTGTAATTGTATTTCATTTGAAATAACTGCTTCTCCTTAACATGTCTCTAACCAACATGTTCTAACAATTTATTATCAATAACACTAACATAGAATGTCATGATGCATTGATGAGTAAGATGCAAGCATGATATAGGACAATATGATCAAGATAACACTGTACATGTGTGTACTATGAGGCCACTTGTACTGTACTGTACTACTGAGGTAAAATCTGTAAACATGTAACACTCACATACATGCTTAGTTTGACCATTTTGCATATTTGGAAAAGCATGATATAGGACAATATGATCAAGATAACACTGTACTTGTGTACTATGAGGCCACTTGCACTGTACTGTACAACTGAGGTAAATTCTGTAAACATGTAACACTTCATATACATGCTTAGTTTGACCATTTTGCATATTTGGGAAAAGCATGATGTTACAGGAGTGACAAAGGAAACACTTTACTTGTGTACAATGAAACTATTTGTACTGTACTGTGTACTACCAAGGTAAAATCTGTAAACATGTAACACTTCATATACATGCTTAGTTTTTACCGTTAACAGCATGTTATTCGACAATGAGATCAAAGAAACACTGTACTTGCATACTAAAGAAGCTACCTGTACTGTACTACTGAGGTAAAGTCTGTAAACATAATTCTGGGAATAAAAACATGAAAAAAAGAAAAAGAAGAAAAAAGGATGCAAGTTTGCTTGAACTAAGCAGAAAAGTGATCAATGAATTCACACATGCTTAAATAATTCTGGAATAACATAATTCACACAGAAATAATTCAAGTTTTGAAGCATCCTATGGAAAAAGTCCTCATTGAACTGAACAGGTATCACTAAAATTCCAGATCTTGTATAAAGTACAAGATCACACACTCTTAGGACCATATATCCCCATCAGACCTTGGATCTGGGGATAGTAGTCCACAGCGCTCAGTAACTGTTCAGACACCATCTTTATTTTCACACCCCACAGTTGCACAAGCAGCCTCCTTTGGGGACTTATCTCTAAAACTGTAGGGACACTTTATTTCCATAAGCTTATGTCCATGGCATTTTACATGAGACAATACCATCTGCAGATCCAGCAATGTGAGGCATAGCTTGAGAAAGTCGCAACCCAGGTACAGTCACACTGAGATTCCTGTGTTGTTTCTTCTCTATGGCAATGTAAGCCCCCTCCCTTGCCACAGTCTCCTTCTTCCTACCCCCACACTACAGCAGGCTGAGTATCAAGGTCAGAAGCATTTCTGCCTAGTACACAGTCTACAGCTTTACTGGGATCAGCAGCAGGATCTGATCTCAGAGTACTGGTAATGAGTGTTAATCCGCTTGAAGAGTGAAGCTGTTATGATACCTCCTTTCTAATGTGATGCCAGTTTTCATTTGAGCTTTGTCCACAGGTTTTCGCCTCTATGTAATCTATGTCATCTGCTGTGTAGATAAGTTTCCTCATGACATCAGCTGGATCAGAATTACTCATTGCCAGTTCTTGTGCCCTGCTGACTATGGACAGCTGGGGTCAATGATTCTTCTGTCCACCCCATGCCCCCTTGTCCAATCTCAGGGAGGTTAGTCTTGTCTGAGAGCAGCTGAAGAGCAACTGCGACAGAGGCAACCTACAAATTTGGGGAAAATTTTATGCTATAAATTTGCTTGGTGTTACAAGTGAAAAAGTAGGCACTTCTTAAGTTTAATTCAACCATCATTGCTTTCAGTTTACTAGATCTCATTTAATAATATCCACCTCTGTCAATTCATCAATAAACTGTTTTGCTCCCTCTTTTTGACAAACTCTGTCTGTCTTCAGGGTGTCTGGGGGTCGAACTCCACCTCTCCCACTTCCTGTTTCTCCTTACCATAACTGAAAAATTCTTTTGATTTTATTTGACTGAAATTAATTAAAGACAGCTAGCTCTCAAATCAGAACTTGCACCTCGTTATAAAATTGAAACATTTGGAAGGGAAATCCTTTTGCTTGTTCTTCCCCTCTACTATGGAGATCCCACCCTTTGGTCATAAAATCAGCAGTTGACTTTACCCCATTCAAACGTTGGCAGATGACCAACCTGTTTTCTTCCTCATTAAAACTAACTATATATTTCCCTTCACTTATACATTTCAGTCTATAATTGTACCATGTCAGCGCTTTGAGCATGATTCTTGTATTAGGAAAGGGTGCATTACAAATGCACATTTTTATCATTATATAATGTAAGTTTAGAATAAACATTAAGTACCCATTGAGAATAGGTGGAGTTAACAGATTAGCTTATTATTAATTACCACACACCCAACAGTTTCAATCCTAAGCTTCTTTATAGGCACAGCTTCAGTCTGATGGCTTTTCAAAACCCTCAAGCGCATATAGGCTTGCTGCTATGTGTCGACAAGCCCCCATCAGCACTGAAATATGAACACAAAATGATAAAGAAATTGAATGATATATTGTATTAACACTGAAGTGTTTAAATGCCAATATATTAACATTTTATAAACGTGATATAAAAATCAATTACAATTTCTTTCTTTTTGAATAAAGGTTGCATTAAAGAAATATTTCAAATACATGTATTGAAAATATATTCAGTGGTGGATAATTGCACTGAACTTGCATTAAAACTTACCCGCCAGGACATTCACAAAATGCCAGTTTGATCACTGCTGTTGATTTTTCCATGAGGAACCACATATCATATGTTGGCTTTCCAAGATAGGAAGAATCCTTCTGTGTTGGTTTCACCTTTGACTTGAATGCACAAAGGTTACTGGCATCACTAATGTCACAATATTGGAGGTCTAACACATGACCATCATAAAACAAACGATAGTCCTCAAAAGACTTTGAAAGCCTTCAATTTCCCTCCTATCATAATCAGATCTATGAAATAACAGGTAGTTGAAGATATCATACATGCCAAAAAGTCTGGGATGAGGCTTAAGTCAGATGTGTAAGTAAGAGCAAATGGATCATCAAAATCACAGTGTAAGTCCGTGAGACACTGTTTCATAAACGTTTCTGGGCGACAGTCATGTTGAAAAATCGGGATCAGGATCCAATTCAAGTTTGACAACTGCATTGGCTAAAGCTATGAGAACGTCTTTTCTGTGACCTGTAGTTGTTATTCCGTACTTTTCAAATAATCTTTAAGTTCTGGGACTTTCAATTTCTCCATGGTAATTAATCATAACTTATATAAACTGCGTATTATGACATGGACCTGTCATCGGAGACGTGCCTACCAGATCTACATTCTAAAATTGCTCAGCCGAATTATGCAGCCT